CAGAAATAAAAATAATTGAAGAAAGTTTATGGAGTCCAGATTTTTAGATGAGTCTTCATGCCCTCCAGTGAAGTAGAACTAAATGCCCTCGTAAAAAGTCCCCACATGGCTTGTATTTGATTATTTAGCTGATGTTCACAGGCTGGTACTGGTGCACTCAGTCAGTAACAGAATGCACAAAGCTTTGGAGCTGTATTTGAGCATTTGGAGCTGGATTGGTGAAGTTTTCTGGGCTTGGGACAGGCCACCAGGGAGCAATTATTATAGCTGGTGTGTAAACACAGCATTCATTGCTGGGAGTGCAGTCTGTATGTGTGAAGTAAAGAACAAACCTCTCCTAGGCTTGAGAGATGTGATGTGTCCCTGCTGCATTTATCACTCGGGATGTAAGTTTTGAGCCAGTATAATCTGTTGTGTCAGGGTAGACTCAGTGTGTTGCAGGAATATGAAAGCTGATTGTTTTCTGCAATAATGCATCCAGCTTCAATTTTTCATCCATTTGGAAAGAAAAAGGGACAAAACTGACATGTTTTTGACACTTTTCAATGGGTTATAATTATTCAGATCTTTTTTTAACCTGTGCTTCCACAAATTAACATAAATGAATTTATATTTTTAAAATTAAGTTTAAAACATAACCTGATTTATTTAGGTAGCAGAAGGTGTGTGGGTATGGTTTTTGGCCTAGGAATATGATCTGGGACTACCAAATTCAGCTGACATGCTTTTGGAAATGAGACTCTGTTGCCATGGCTCAGAGCAAGTTTTACAGCATGATCACAAATTTCCAGCACTTTGAGAGAAAAGCTCCCATTTGGGGTGAGGAGGTACACAGTGCACCAGGCCAGCCCAGTTTCTCTGCAGCTGCAGCCAATCTTTGGTCACATGAAGGGGATGACACCTCTCACATTGTCCTTTGGTGGCCACAAGTGCCCTGGTCCCCTCTGATCCAGCTGCAGCAGGATGGGCTCAGCCCTGAGTGACCAAGGGGCTCCTAGCCCTGGCTCAGCTCCCTTAAACTGTGCTTAATAACAACCCCAAATCTCCTTCCATGTCCAGCTTTAGAGACATCCACAGAGAAGCATCGCTGAGATTCCAAAGCCTCCTTAAGAAAATTTAGCCCAAGTGCTTGATCCCTCCTTGTTTCAAACAGAGATTGCATCACCACAAATCTACTCCCTAAATATGCCAGAGGCTCGAGCAGCTCCCTGAACTTGTGGGGGTGCTTGGGGTTTTTTTCTGCAGACATGTGCTTAACTGCTGACAAAACACTGGCATTCAGTGAGACTTGTAAATTCACACTTCTTGGTATTTTATTTTTTACAGGTTAGTTCAAATAAGTTAGGCATCTTGTTTATACTCACTTCTTGCCTGATGGCCACCTATGGGCAGAGCCTGAGTGTTTGATTGCCTTCTTTAGACAGGAGGGAGAGACTTCAGGCAGAAACTGGTAAATGAACATTACAATGACAAGTCTGCAAAAACATTGTTCTCCTTCCCTTCTCCTCCTGCCAAATCCTTAGTTTGAATGGGTTCTGCTTTATTCATCAGTACCAGTGATTCATACCTGTGATTCAAATTCAGCTTCTCATACCAAAGGGGATCCATGTTTTTACTACATTTTTACAAATATTTTCCTAAGCTGTAAATTGTTATTGATTTAAGTGGAAGTTAAGGTGAGCCAGTAACTTCTACTTAAATTCCTTTAGCCTGCATTATGAACTCCTTCATGGGATGAGTCCCAGCCAGGATGACAGGATTCCAGTTAAAACATCAGGCTGTGAAGTGATCACAGGGGAACAAGGAAACATCTTCATTAGAGCCACTGACCCCTTGAGATGGCTGCATCTCTGTAATTACAGTCGTGTAATCAGGCATGGAAAGCAGTTCATGTGGTTTTGGCCTTTTGGAGTAGGATTTTTTCTAGAAGGTTAGTTAGCTGTTGAACTAGACTCTAATTAAAAGCATGGATAAGAATAATCAGGGGAAAGACACTGAATAAAGGAAGGAAGATTTTATGAAGTGTGTCTGGGAGGAAAACCAGATGAGAACAAGGAGGAAAGCAAAAATTAAGTTGTGGTTTGTGTAATAAGCCTGAATGATGTGAGAGCCTGAGTGAGAATTCCCTCAGTTACCTCAGATCTTCCTTTCACCTGTGCTCAGTTACAAACACTGATTTTTGCTGTTTCACGTGGTATAGTGGGACCATTTTTGTGAGATTGTTTTCTCTGATTTAAATTACAGTGACAATAAGGAAATCAAGGCAACAAAAAAACCACAGCCTAAATAAATTGCTTTCCCAGAATTCATTTTTAGATCAATATTGCTACAAGTTTCACTGGAGACCAACTGTCAGGATTCAAGAAATACTAGTTTTAATGAATATATGTAAGCTATGATGTGAAGTTACCTATAGGGTAACTTTCCAAATCAGTCACTTCAGCAGTTTTATTCTGTTTCTAAATAAATAACTGTTCTGCCCGTGATTCACTTATAGTTTTAAAAATACAGTTGATATTGCTGGCACTTTTGAAGAAATTTTAGTTGTCTGAATTTGAAAGTGTATTTTAGTTTCTAAGCAGAAGGAAGCTAAACTTTTCTGACCATTTCTAGACTGTTCTCATAACCTTATTATTGCAAGATTTGTTGTTTTTCTTCTGTTTCTCTTATCACTTGTTGACTTGTATTGTCCTTTATTTAGTTTGCAAGCAATGCTGGAGCTAGAAACATCTCTTTTGATCTATGATGTCTCTATCATACTTCTGGGCATAATTATAATCATAAAAACCTTTGAAACCTTTCTGCCTGATGTCTTGTTATACTAAAGTTGAGATGTTCTACACTGCTGCCATAAAAAAAAATTAAATAAAGTCTATTTTTAGCCTTCAAACACTCACAAAGTAATATAAACCACCAAACAAGGCTGCAGTTTACGTCTTTGTAGCATACAAAAATATCTGTTTCATTGCAATATCTTAAATTCTCCCTTAATCTCTCAAACCCCTATGAATAAAGCATTGGATTACCAAGTAATACCCTTCATCACAAGGAATTAGGCACTTTAGCTTTAGGCTCCATCTAAACCGTTGCATTAGGAGAGATGTTACTGACGTCATGTTTTCCAAGTTCCTGTTGACTCACATGGTGCCTTCCCTCACCCTTTAAGATCTTGTCGAGATCAAATCTGTCTCTCGTGGCCCTCTTAATTCTCTTTTCTTTTGGGTGGCTTTGAGGCACTAGCGTGCATAGGGTTTTCTAGCAAGGAGTAGGAAAGTTAAGTTTCTGTTTGTGTGTGTGCCAGTGAGTCTGAAACAGAGCTTTGGCAAGTTTTGTGATTGCTTTCATCTGTAAATTTAGTAAGTCAAGACAATAATTTTCTTGCAAGAAGGGGGTTTTTAATTAGGAGCTTGACGTGTCTATGTCTTCTGTCTGCAATATACAAAATTTTAAAGGACATCCAGATAATGATTCCCTCTTCCCTTTTGTCCAGCTATTATGTGTTAAACCCTGCTGTGGTACCAGAGTTTTTGAACTTCTGTGCCAAGAGTTGTGGGAATTCTGTTAGAATTTATGGAATAAAATGCATGGAATACAAGTGTGTACTCAAATCCTTATTGCCTTCTCACTTCAGCAGGCTGGCAGTGAGGAATGCAGCTGGCACCTGGTCAAAAACTCCTGATTTTGAAAGATCCTCTCCCTTTTTAAGACAGAGGAAGTGTAGGAGTCACCAATGTGGCCTTGAACCATCATCCAGCCTTCAGTGTTTACAAAGAACCACATTCTTGCTAAAAGCTGTTAAAACAAACCTCAGTCCAAACCAATTTGCTTCATGACATGTGCTGTGCAATCTTATCCCATGAAAAGATTTGTGATTGCTTTATTTTTTCTTCCATTTTTACAAATACACAATAGTATGTTGGATCTACAGTAAGCATGAATTCCTTTTACATAGCATGTCCCCACAATCTGGATAATTGCTTTTGTGAAGCTGTTTTAGTTGGGTGTTTCATGGTTTGCTGGACAGCTTTATCTTGTAGATTTATCTTGTAGATAATTGATACTGCAGTCCATAACAGAACTGGCAAGAGTTGTATTGAACTGTTTGGGTTTTTCTTTAAACTTCAGCACATCACCAAGCAGGCGTTGACTGCTCTATCTACAAAACTGTCCCTTGGTTTCATGTTCCCCAGGGAGCTGTAACATCCTGTCATCATAAACACCTATTGAAGACCTAATTAGGCAACTTTTTATGGATCCATTGTGCTTCTGCATTTTCTTCTGGTGTATTATTTTAAAATAGTAGAAGTCATTATATTGTCTCATACCTTATATTCTGCAACACTACTACACCTTTCACTGGGAAGGTTGTCAGGCCGAAAGTTGGAATATAAGGTTTGCAGTCTGTGCTCACTTCACAGATCCCAAACACAATGTTCTGTTTACCCTTGGCACTGCTGTAAGCAAGAATCTTTCTGGTCTGCTGAGTAATTATGTAAATAGGGCTTTTATAAAGCATTTTAAGCACCCAGTAGAACAGAATAACTTCTTTGGAGTTTTTTCTTTTCTAATGGTAATTACATAATTGGATAGGTTTTAGGTAATTTTTTTCTATCTGATATGTAGATGCCAGAGTCACTTTTGAGCATTTTTACTGAAAAATCCTAATAATCATTCAGGAAAACAAATCTGCCAGGCTCTCCCCTATTATCAACATCCCAAAATGCCTTTGGCAATGAGTAAATGTCAAGCATTTGTTATTTGGCACTTGACTTGTCCCTTATTTCTTTGAACTCAAACATGTTGCATAAGATTGGTAAAGTTATGCTGAGCTAATAATTGAAACAAAACGAAAAAACCCCCAAATTCTTCCTTGATCCAACCTTTCCAGTTTCCATCTAAAAACGCTATATGTAATAAGCTTTTAGAAAAACTCAACCTGCTTTAAACTTCCAATAAGTGTTACTTAAACTTCCAATATGTTTTGTCTTTTGTTTCTGCAGATTCCTGTTTCGCCCCTGGAGAGTTTCATTATGGCAGCCCCCAGTGAACAATGACATCCTTTGACAAATACAGATGCCAAAAAGCCAGACGAAAACAGTGGCCTTGTTTCATTTTTACTCCAACACAGTGAAATGGTGCTCTTAAAGTTTTGTTATTGACTCTCACTGGAAAAAAAACCAAACTCCTGACTGGACCTTTTTATCCCCCAGCCCTCTCCCCGTGTTCTTATGGATGGTTGACACAGTGACATCATGTAGTAGGCCCTGAAGCGTTGGCATAATTAAGTTGCAATGGTTTTATACACTTCTCCATTTCCCAACAGCTTTCTGTCAGTTCTGCATTCTTTTTCCTGGGGCCTGATTTTCCCATGTTACTGGCTAGCAGACAGGCTCGTGGGCTCTTTTGTTCCAACCACCTATGAAAAACGTCAAAGAGCAGACGACCCATGCTATTTTCATGCACTCTGCATCATTATCACCACTCCCATCTACCTGGCTCTCTTGGTGGCCTCTCTTCCTTTTGCCCTGATTGGCTTCTTGCTCTGGTCCCCGCTGCAGTCAGCCCGAAGGCCCTACATCTACTCCAGGCTGAAAGACAAGAACCATGCCAATGGAGCCACACTGCTCACGGAATGGAAGGCTGCAGGCGCTGGGAAAAGCTTCTGCTTTGGCAGTGCCAACGTTTGCCTGCTGCCCGATTCTCTGGCAAGATTTAATAACGTTTTCAATACGCAGGCCAGGGCTAAAGAGATTGGCAGGAGGATCCGAAACGGGGCGAGCAGGCCACAGATTAAAATATACATAGATTCTCCTACCAACACATCCATCAGTGCAGCGAGCTTCAGCAGCCTGGTGTCCCCCCAGGCTGGAGATAACCGCACTGTTAATGCTGGCATCAAAAGGACAACATCCATGGAGTACAAAGGAGACAACTGTGGCTCAAACAACGGCGAGGAGAGCAGAGAAGATAAAGGTGGGAGTGGAGAGCCACACGAGGGAGAAGAAAACAGTTGCATTGTCCGTATCAATGGAGAGGAGAATGGCCACATGTCAGACACAGAAACAGACACCGTCAACGGCCAGGCTCGTGCCAGTGGCCCAGCAGAGCCCTCACTGGAAGGTGATGCAGAGATCTCAAAAACACCGAACCACAAACAGAAGGAAGGAGATTCTGGGAGTTTAGACAGCTGCTCTGCCTCACGAGAGTCCCTAGTCAAAGTCCGTGTGGGAGATGGTACAGTGGACCAAAGCACTGTCAACAACAAGCTCCTCTACAAAGCTTCAATCATGAAGAAGACTTCAGTGCGGAAAAAGAAACACACGGATGAGACCTTTGATCATGAGATCTCTGCTTTCTTCCCTGCCAACCTGGACTTTCTGTGCTTGCAGGAAGTGTTTGACAAAAGAGCTGCAGAGAAGTTGAAAGAGCAGCTCCATCACTATTTTGAATACATTGTCTATGATGTTGGGGTCTACAGCTGCCACGGCTGCTGTAGCTTTAAGTTTGTGAACAGTGGTCTACTTTTTGCCAGCCGCTATCCTGTTATGGATGCTGCCTATCACTGTTACCCCAATGGAAGAGGAATGGACTCCTTGGCCTCCAAGGGAGCCTTGTTTCTCAAGGTAAGAGCCTTTTTGAAGCTGTAAATATTGACTCTGTATATGTGGCAAGTTATAAAGTTGCATTATTTTTTCATTTCTTTAGACCTCAACAGAGGTAATATTCAGATATAGATTTCCTGATACAACCTAATGGGTTATAGATATAATCTTTATGGGATTTGTAGCCTGAATACTGTGTTAAAATGATGGATGTGTCTGAAATAACGAGGGACTTTTGGAGGTAAAACTCAAGTATAATTTCAAGACCCAAAATTTGAAGTGGTTGTCATGATATTTTAGTTTCTTTCTTTCCAAAAATCTCTGTAATAAAATGCATAAATTCTGAGCCTCATAATATGAGTACAGTACAATGGGCATTTCTGTTGGAAACCAGCTTATACTCGTTGTGTGTTTGTCTGGCAATCAAAAGACAATCAAAGGTCTAAATGTCAGTATAATAAAACTGAAAGAATTGCAGTGAAATGTATGGCTACTCCACTCTTGCTTGCAAAAGAATTAGTAAGGAGAGATATGAAGAAGAATAAACAAGACAAACGTGCCTGGGACACTGGGGAGCACAGAGCTTTTTTGTGCTATTAACACAGTTTACTTAAATTAACTAATGGTAGAGAGAACAGGAAGCCTGGGGTTATGTATCTGTAAATCACAAAAAGCTGAAATGAAAGTCTGCATGCAATGATTTGCTTTTCCAAGACCTACTGGCTGCTCATGCTTAATTCTTAGGAGTATCTGGCTGTGCTCTTTCTAAACTGGAAAGTGGGCTTTTCTAATCTGTGATTAATCAAGAACCAAAACTTTTTGCCAGAGATTCAATTCTGTAGACCCAAACCTAGAAAGATCTGAAAATGTTCAGAATACTGAATTTCAGATTTTGTGATTTAGTCACAGTTTGGAATGGGTTTCACTAGCTAAATCTTGAACTTCTTTTCTAATACTGGCAAAGTACATCAGATGGTCAAATTATATGTACTTTCTAGTCACAAGTCCTCAACAAAAGCCATTAACAGCTGTTGAGAATGTGGACTGTGAATAAGGATCAGTGGGAGGCTTTGTACTCTGTGGTTTTTAACCAAAGCAAAAGCTTTTGGTACTGTGACTTGTGTCAAATATTAGATTTTTGGTCCTGATAATAGTTCAGTATTTCATGTACATTGACATAGACAAAAGCCTATCTGAATACAAGTTTCCAAAAACTGTGTCTAAGCTCTCTATGTTGCACTCTTATGTGTTTATAAACAGCAACAATTTATTTTTTCATCACAAATTGCTGCAAGCGAAGAATGAACATAGATCTTGTGCAGTATAAATATTTCTGGGGTCACAAAGACTACCCTTGAACATATGCATATATCATGGATTAAGAGATTAAACCCAATCTGTTTTTAACTGCCCATTGCTGAGTCATTGATTTGCACCCTGCTAGGCAGGCTGCAATGTCTCCATTTCTCTTGCAGAAAATTAAGCCTCTTTTCAAGATTCCACTGGGATGATGAACTTAATTATGGATCCACGTTGTTAAATAATGTTACAGTTGAGCAGGGAATAGAGGCCAATTATTATGAAGTTCTAAAGATGACTCCATTTTTTTGAATATAACAGAATTCTACCCAGCCATAAGCCTGTTTTTCCTCCTGTTTGTGTCATTCTGATATACTTTTCTTCATACCTAAAATAATTTTCATTCTGAGTTAAGTCTATCTTAACATGAATTTACTTTCTCTCTTAATTGCACATTGAATGACAGATTGTACATAGGTCATTTCTTTAATGACAACAACAACATAGAGTAGGAATAATTATTTAATTTTGTCTTTGAAATAGAGTAGATTTAGAGGTTGTTTTTTCTTGATGTGGTGACTAGTCAGCAACTGGGTGGGTGTGGGCTCCAGAAACAAAAACTACATGCAGGAAGTAAAAGCCTGGCTTGCTCCTGAAGTCAGTGAGAATCAGAGCAGTAAGTTCAGAAGCTCGAGCTGCTCCACTGGGGCAGCAGGCAGAGGGTGGCAGGTGTTGTTCTGGCCAGCACTCTGCCATCCCAATGGACAGCTGATCTCCCTGCTTCCAGGTGGGACTTTTACTGGCCTTACAGAGTTTTGAATGTCTATCATACCAGCCAGTCCTACATTAGAGTTTCTCAGGTTTTAGAGAAAGTAAGAGAGCCTTGCAGAACAAGAGTGTCCTAATTGCTTCCCACTCCATAGGGGCATGGAGTTGAGCCTCTGTCCTATGCAGACCCTGGGTTTTTAAGTTCCTGGCTCCTGTGGAGTGCAGTGTTCCCAGTTATGAAGTAGAAAAGGCATCAGTTGAGCTTTGTTTTGGAAGGATACTTGCAAAGACTTCCCCTTGCACAGCTTCCATCTCTGAGTAAAGGAGCAGTTGCTCTCTACATTGGTTAAAAACCAAAAGTTGTGCAAAGCCATTGAGGGGAGAAGGCTCATATGTTTTGAGAATATGGATAAAGCCAGTTAATGTTTCCACTCATGGGGAGGATGAAGCCTTTATTCCAATTATTCTGAACCTTAAGAAACACCCAACATCAAAATTCAGAAGAACGTTCAGAGAAAGAATCTGATTGATGTTTAATAAGTACGATTGTCTCCTTACTACAAATAGAACAGTTAAGGACATAAATTAAGGGTCTCAGAACTAAATATTTAAAGAAAGTTGAAATAATCTGAAAATGACAAAACTGCTTTGGGGCACTCTGACACAAAACAGATCCCTACTGCCTTGATTCAAGTGTTTTGCACGTTTTTTCATTTTAGAATGGGTTCTGCTTCCAGTGAAGGAGAAATTATTTTCCATTGCCCTCTTCTTCCCTGCCCTATTTTCACTATCTAGATTGTAAAGTTCAGGTAGAGATTTGGAAGGATTTGAGAGATTTGCTTAGTCATACAAAATTATTTTACCTGAGAGACTTACAGAGCTCAAGGATTATTATTAGTAGCTCTAATAACAATCAGCTCTTACCTACTGCTTTTCATTCCTACGTCTCAGAGTGCATAATGAAGAAAGGTCAATATCTGCTTAATAGAAGGAGAAACTAAAGTACAGGAAGGTAAAGTGATTTGATTGTGGTTTAACACCTAGGGTGTCACAACCGAGGAGCCAAGTTGGAAGTAAATTACAGAGGCTTTTAGCACAGTTTCATGCTACCAGGCAGCTATCTGGAGACTTGTGCAAAGGAAGTCTGCCCCTGTTCTCCTCCTGAGGATGTCTGCCACAAAAGGTGCTGCTGCTGGCACTTTCCTGACAGAGATCAGATTGCTTTTTCCATCTGTAGGGGCTGATGCTTTCCAGGTCAGGATGAAGACATGAGGATGATGTAGTTGTGAGGAGCCATTGTGTGAAGTCCATTTTCTGCAAAGCTGGAGGACTAATTTGCATTTGGCACTTGGAACTCTTCAAACTCTACCAGTGCTTTTGTCTCCAATCTGAGGGTCTCATTGGGATGTACAAAAAACACAGCCACAGAAAAAAATAGCATAGATGAAGGGGGGAAATGTCACATCCAAGTGACAATTTCATGTCTGAAGTGTTAAACCATAGTTCCTAGTTGCCACGAAAGACTCAGAGGAGAAGTTGGCAAATCCATAAATCAGCCAATCCATTTTCATACTTGGGCACTCTGGGCCCTTGGGAGACTGTGCTGTGACTGTGTTCTGGCGTGGCATTTCACATTAATTTAAAATGCCAAAGACAAGGGCCCTTGAGTCACTTTGTAGGCTTTATAGCCCCCACTGTCTCAGCTGCTGCTGGGCTGCAGAGCTGGGAAGTGTGCCTGGCACAGCCCCTGTGCTGGTGGCTGGCACTGCAAAGCTGGCTTGGGCTGCTCTGTGTGCAGCGTGGTGCAGCTTGCAGTGCTCTCAGCTCCTGTGCAGCTGCAGCTTTGGCACACACATAATGTTAATGCACCGTAGTTCTGATGGATTTAAAGGGAGTTATAAAATACACATCCTTCTCAGAAATTGGATGTTGATTTTACAAATCAGCATTGTCAAATCAAGTTTAAAAGGTGTCAAGGAGTGCTGAGCAGAGATTGTGTAATGCATCACCAGCCTGTAATTTACTAGAAGGATTCAAAATGTCAATGTCCCTCTTTAGACAGAGGATCTAGTGTGGAGCCTTAGTTATGCTGTGCCAGGGATGCTGTGTGAGTTTTGGACAGCAGTGCAACAAAACTGGAAAGCGTCCTTAACTCGACCTGCTGCGTTTGTGCATATTTTTCCAGGTGTAGCAATCTAATAAAACCTCACTTTTGCTGACAAATTTTGCCTCTCTTCTCCTTAAATTGTGATAGTTGTAACAGTAATGTAAATCCAGGCTATCCAAGAGATGTAGATGCACACTCAGAGTAGGGAGGTGAGTGAAAGAGGCATCATTTTCAAAATGGTTGATTGAGAGAGAGGTTTTGGAGGCTCCTTCCTCCCAATGGGACTGGGAGATACAGAAGTGTGGTGTGCAGAAGGCTGTTCTTCCTACTGCTCCTAGTAGGAAATTATTCTGGGTTGTGGCCTCTGCCAACAGGGTCAATTTCAGCAAAACTAAGAATTCTGAGTTAAAAGACATAATGAACATAATGCAAAACTATGGTCTGATGTGGGAAGTTCGAACAGTTAATAGTATTCTTCAAAATCAAAAGGAAAAAGAATGTCTTGTGGATTTTGCTATATTTCTGGAAGAAGTTGTGTTTAATTAATATTAATTCCTAAGGTTATTAACAGATTTACTTTTCAAATTCTCTGAAAATGAAGGCTGTTCTCAGGGAGTACAGTAATTGTGCAGAGAACATGTTATTATTCATTGCTTAAAGGAAACCTAGCAACCTTTGCTTTGTGTGCAAAGCTCAACTTGTTTTCCAAAGAGCTGATATGGTGGTAACAGATGGTAGAAGGAGCAGCAGCTCTGATTGCAAAACTGTTTTGAAGCACAATTTTTACTGTTTTCCCCTCTCGAGGAGCCTGCTTTGTGTGAGAAAATGAGGGTTCCCTGAATTAACC